AATTTTAGAATATGAAATTATGGATTAAGAAGCAATGGATAAACCTGGTAATTGCACAGAACTCCCAATGAAGCAAATCCGTTGTTCTGCCTTATTGAACTGAAGTCATGCTGTGCTAACTGTGTGGTGGGGAGGGCATGTCAACTCAGTCCCATGAGTGAACTCATTTTGAGATGACAGGCCACTTTCTCATAAAAGGACAACCTGCAGCGGGAGGGACTGACTTGGTGGTGCTTTGTATAGGAGATGTGATAGCTGACCTGTTGGTATTTTCTTAGAGGTGGAGGTGCATGGCCAAATGACACACAGCTAGATAGGATGCTCTAGTTAGAAGACAGCTTTCTGATTTCCAAGTCCTGGAACAAAGACCATTATTTCCTGGGATTATAGCCTTCTAACTTCTACTGTTTGCCCCCATGTCCATGTAGACATACACAAAGGACAAAGTCAAGGGAGTAGCTTCCTTGCATTCTTCTTACTTATCACCAAGCTTGCTGTAGTGAAAGAAAACACACTGCACCTGGTTACTGTGTCAATTGGGGGAAGATGTTAAATAGGGAGTCCTTCTGATATCTGGTCTCAACACTCAGATTTAGTGCTTGGACCTTCTAAAGCAGTGGTTCTCAACCTCTGTGTCATGTCCCCTTGGAGGCTCCAATGACCCTTTCACAAGGGTCACCTAAGACCATTTTGCATACCAGATATTTACATTAGGATCCATAACAGTAGCAAAATTACAGTTAGGAAATAACAATGAAAATAATTTATGGTAAGGGGTCACCACAACATGAGCAACTGTATTACTGGGTTGCAGCATTGGGAAGGTTGACAATCTAAAGTGAGAGCCATTTAAGCTCTAGAACACCGAAGTCCATTGTAAGCAACTTCCTCTAATAATTAAGCATTTCTTGGGAAGACAGTCTCCCATTAAATATGAGCATCTAAAGGGATTCTGAAATGACTATTGTAATGAGAACTTTCACCTACCACCTTCTATGGATGGGAGTCTTGCCATGGTTAGAACCATGGAACTCACCAGGTCAATGAGAAAAAAATGAAACCATTTTATTCACAGGTGTGCACATTTATTTGTGCAGTTATATGTAGGAAGTTAAGAATATGCTCAACAGAATTTCACATACAATCAACACTGAAGGAAAATCAGTTGCTATTTTAACACAACAATAAGAAAATGCAAATTTTAGGAAGAATTTTTTATTAGCACATTCTCTTTCAGGCGTAGGTATTAAAACATTTGAATGCAAGACACCCCATCGTCTGGGGAGCACCATACATACAATGTGTGAGTTACAACCACATATCCTTACTGGGGATTTTTCCTCCTTTTCCTCTTTGGTTTTTATCCCTTAAAAAGCCCCTGAAGATAAGTCTGGAAATATTTAAGAAGTGTCACATTGCAAAATTATTCAATAGCTTACCATCTTCCATTTGTGCTCCGTGGGGGTACCTTGATCCCTTATCACCACGGGTATTTGTTTAATCATAAAATTTTGCATCTTAAAAGGTGTTTGCTACTTCCATTTACTCAAACTGGAAGCCACAATCCTTTGTCACAGGATGGCCATTTCCCCCTGAAAGCACATGTGATGTCGGAGGGAATCCTTGGGAGAGAAGAGTGTGATCTTCCAGCGAGGTCCTCTGGGTTTCTAAACCATCACTTTAGTATAAAATCAAAATATTTTAGTCAGAAAACCCCTCATGACAGAGCTGTGTCTCTTCTAGGTCTGGGTTGTGACATTTCAAAAATAATAGCAGCAATCAGCAAAAGTTTAAGGGATGAGTGGTATGTGTTTGGGAATGGATAGAGATTTTTATTTCATTTCATTTTAATTCAATGCCACTTAAGCTTGCCAGTAAAATGCATTAAACATATTCCAGAAAGAGTTGATTTAGCAGGTGAAAAATGTGTCTCCAGAGACCAGACAAGGTACATTTTCTGTCTTGCCATCTTTCCATAATAGGAACAATGTTTACATTTCCTCATGCAGTGCCTCTAATGTATTCATGTTCTTTCACTCTCCAGAGGCAGGGATGGAAGTATTTGAGATTTTATTTTTTTAGCTACCGGCATCAAGCACTTAGGATCTGAGGGTTGTGGTGTCTGTTCACACTTGGCATTAAAAAATAAAAGCTTCAGTGTTTGCATTTGATTAGAGTCGCTCAGCTTGGTGACTGATTATCAGGATAGAAAAGGCAACTTTTTTTTTCCAGAAATGAGGCTTCTGGAAAATGGTTAATGTTGTGGAAGATAATAGACGGGGGTAGCCACTTCATTTTTATTAAATCGACGAGATCAGCTCTGCTGAAGAATCTCTTGGTGACAACAAACCCTAAAAGTAATAATGGGACCTGACACTTTACAAGCCCACAACGGCCCCTGATTTAAATATTCTTTCAGTTCTGCTGCATATTTACCTGAAATTGAGTGTGGGTTTTCCTTTTTGATGCAAAATAAATGTAAATATTGTAACCTGTGAGCTTCAGCTATTTTTCACTGTGGTGACATAAAGCCACTATCCTCTTGTCACTTCAAAAGCAAACATGCCTTTCTCCAAACAGAGCCCCTGTTGTCACAGGCAGTCATCAGAAAAGACTGAGTGGAAAGCTTGGATTGTTGTGTGATTTGTTCATTTAACATGCATAAAATTGTTGCTACTTCCTCCAGACTCAAAATAGCTCATTTATTCTAATTCTGTAGAAGGTGGAAAAGATCAAAAGAAAAAGACAGATAAATAAATTTTGAACCTGCCGTCATCCTTAGAATGAAGTTGAAAAATCGTGTACCAGAGAGAATGAAAGCCACAAAGAAGACAACAAATAAAATTAATTTACATGCGTCCCAGGGCTGGCTGGGGTGGTATGGGGGCAGGGAGGATTAATTAGTTAATGTTTGGCAAGCTGCACCCTGAAGACAAGCTATGCAGAGGTGCTGTTGTCACTTATTTCTGTTATTAATTAACAGTGTGATTGCCAAACACCAGTTAAGCCTCACAGTATGTTTTCGTGTTTCTTAATGACATGTGCGATGTCTATTACAGGAGTGATTCGGGAAAGTTACCTCAAAAGCAAGGACCAGCTCGTTCCGGTTACCCTCTTGGCCATTGCAGTCATTCTGGCTTTTGTCATGGGGGCCGCCTTCTCGGGCATCATCGTGTATTGTGTGTGCGATCACCGGCGCAAAGACGTGGCAGTAGTGCAGCGCAAACAGTGGCCTCTTTGGGGACACCCAGTCCAAAGACCCAAAGCCTGAGGCCATCCTCACTCCACTCATGCACAACGGCAAGCTGGCCACGCCTAGCAACACGGCCAAAATGCTCATCAAGGCTGATCAGCATCACCTAGACCTCACCGCCCTGCCCACCCCAGAATCCACTCCGACACTGCAGCAGAAGCGGAAGCCCAACCGCGGCAGCCGCGAGTGGGAGAGGAACCAGAACCTCATCAATGCCTGCACCAAGGACATGCCCCCTATGGGCTCCCCTGTGATTCCCACGGACCTGCCCCTTCGGGCTTCCCCAAGCCACATCCCCAGCGTGGTGGTCCTGCCCATCACGCAGCAGGGCTACCAGCATGAGTACGTGGATCAGCCCAAAATGAGCGAGGTGGTGGCTCAGATGGCACTGGAGGACCAGGCTGCCACCCTGGAGTATAAGACCATCAAAGAGCACCTGAGCAGCAAGAGTCCCAACCACGGGGTGAACCTTGTGGAGAACCTGGACAGCCTGCCTCCTAAAGTTCCACAGCGTGAGGCCTCCTTGGGCCCCCCAGGAGCCTCACTGTCACAGACCGGCCTAAGCAAGCGGCTGGAAATGCATCACTCCTCCTCCTATGGGCTTGAGTATAAGAGGAGCTACCCCACGAACTCGCTCACGAGAAGCCACCAGGCCGCCACTCTCAAAAGAAACAATACTAACTCCTCCAATTCCTCCCACCTCTCCAGGAACCAGAGCTTTGGCCGGGGAGATAACCCGCCTCCCGCCCCGCAGCGGGTGGACTCTATCCAGGTGCACAGCTCGCAGCCCCCTGGCCAGGCCGTGACTGTTTCGAGGCAGCCCAGCCTCAATGCCTACAACTCACTGACGAGGTCGGGACTGAAGCGCACCCCCTCGCTAAAGCCAGACGTACCCCCCAAACCCTCCTTTGCTCCCCTTTCCACATCCATGAAGCCCAATGATGCCTGTACATAATCTCTGGGGTTGGGGCCCAGGAGTCGAAGCATCAGACGAGGTGAGGCACCCATCCAGTTCAGCAAGGTCTCCACTGCCTCAAGGATCCACCCGACCAAGATGGCCCTGGAGGAGTTGAGGATGCTGGGTCCTCCTCCCTGGGACACAGGGACACTGAAAATCAGGCCATGTGGTTTGGTGAAGGTTTAGCAACAGTCACCTCCATTCTCTTCCTTCACACTCCCCCACATCGTACAGCAGGTCGGACTCACAAAAGACTTGAGTATCATAACAAACATGAGCCAAAAGCACATTCGTACCCTGTCCCCACATTAACACACACCCACACCTAACGCTCCACCTAACACACACATGCGTGCACCCCACACACACACACACACACACACACACACACAGATGAACAACCACCACAACATTTTGTCCCTGACTGCACCTGCACGGGACATTACCAAACTGGGCTAAGCTTTCGGAACTTTAAAACACAATACATTTTTCAAAAAAAAAAGAAAAAAAATGAAAATTAAAAAAAAAAAAGAATTCATTGATAATTCTAACTCAGACTTTAACAATGGCAGAAGTTTACTATGCGCAGATACTGTGAAATGCCCATCAGTGTTACAGCTTTGTTATAGCAGGTAAATGCCATGTTGGGCAACGATGTCATAGATTTCTGCTCCTCTTCGCTTTTAATGAATAACGTGACCGTTAATGCAAGTAATTCTTATTTATTGTTCACCCTTTTCTTTTTCCTTAAGGAAAAGACTCTTCCAAATGCCACCGTATGAACAGTTCTGCAGAAGCCCATGGAAAGCTAAACTATTTAACGTGAAATCCATTAACTGGAATAATTGAGTTTCTTTATTTTTACAATAAATTCACTAAGTAAATAAGTTGGAGCTGGAATTCTGAGCTTTGTTTTTGGACTCTCGGGTCAGTAGCTAAAGGACCTCAGTGCTAAGAGGGGAGTATTTATTTAAATCTCCCAGTTAATTTGTCAGTTCAGTCTCTGGTCAAGAGAAAAAGAGTTTAAAACTCTTTCCAGATCCTAACTACCAACTAGGAGAGAAACATTAGGATGGCACCTATGCCCCATTGCCAAAAACATGGCTTTGTCTGAGGCTCCCACTGTCATGAAGGCACCAGCTTGTGAAGCCCCCCGCCCGCATCCCATTTCACCTTGCATGTGAGACAGCAAACAAAAATCTACAAACTGTGTGAACTAATTAATACGCTGGCTGCTACCTTGCATAAATTAATGATTTGATCACACGGGTGTTTCGTGGGGTTACATCTGTGAATAGCCTGTTTTCCACATGTAAATTTGTGCCTTACACGCTGAGTTGTATACACTTGTAAACTGTCGTTATGATCAACTTTTTTTTTTCCTACTTGAAATAAATGCAGATATTTATTTAAACCCCACCCTTCACTCAGCCCTCTGGAAGATTGGAGTCAAGCAGATGGAAAAAGAATGCAGTAGTGATGGTTGTAATGCCGAAGGCTGGGTGACATCCTTTAGTTCACAATGCCTTCAGTTGTGCCAGCTCCAACCACGCTTGGCTGTGGTACAAGCATGGACCCCCAGTGCCGTGGGTGGCAAATCCCCTTTCCCAGAGCTCTCTGCTCCCCTATATTCCCAGATCATTTCAATATGGTGACATCCTCCTGAGCCAGCAGAGGAGGGACTGAAGTCCCAGCCGTCATTTCTGCTGTGTCCACTGACTTGAGAACTTGCTGTGGAGGTTGGGGAGGCAAATGGGAGGAGTCTCCAAGCGTGCCTTCAGCACACCCATGCAATGCACAGAGAAAACAAGGAAATAGACGGGGCAGGCTGGTCCCTGCTGTGATTTATGGGTACCCCAAAATACAAGGCAAACCACAATGGATGCTGCAAAACCCATCTTCTGGGGCAAAGGTTCTTTTGTTTTGTTTTGTTTTAAATTCCTTTATCTGTTTGTTGTTTGTAGAGGGTTGGGAGGGGGTAGTGTGTGTGTGTGTGGTTTTGTTTTGTTCTTTTCTCCCCTTGTTTTTCTTTTGCTAAAGCACACAGAAGGAACCTTTGTTTACTCCATCATAAACAAAAGAATTGTCTGCAAACTGTAAACCATGAACATTGTTTTCATATAAACAGTTTATTCGGTGGTCTCTTGGTCTCTTTCTTTTTCCAGTTTGGTCTGGATTTAGTGTGTCTTAAAAAAAAAAAAAAAAAAAAATAAAAGAACTTTCAGGAAAAAAAAAAGATTAACAAGGACAAATTTGAATTGGGTAGTTACTATGTTGTATCTGCAATCAGAGCAGTCCCCCAGAGCCCCAGAGCCCCAGAGCCCCAGTGTACAGCTGAGGACAGGTGCACAACCCTTTGTCCCAAGAGTCCCTTTGCAGATCAGTGAGGCTGTTGCTTGGGGTACATAAAATGTCATTCAGCTTTATTTTGCCTTTTAGTGAAGTCATTGTTGGTGGCCTGTAACCCTTGTAGAAACCACGAATACTTTCCAGAAACAGATATTCTTTTCCCCTTCTTTGCAAATACAAAAACTAAAAAGGTAATGGGTGTCAGTCACCCTGTGGACCTTCTCACCGGTGTTAGATTCCCAACAGTATTGCCCCAACCTTGTGTCCATGTTAATGGGCTTCATTGCCTCAGCTGTGTTAAGGAGACCTGTATCAAAACCCGCATCCCTTTTTCCCACAACCCATTACTTTTGGGATTAACCCTGCA